TAATTCAAAGTTTATTTTTTTATTATTAATTTGTATTTTTATTAATTAATTGAAAAATTAAAATAAATTGTGTCAACCTATTCATTTGTATTTAGTGTGTAATTTTCTTAGTGATTTCTTTAAAATAAAATACAAATTTAACCTTAAAATATCTTAATTGTACAAAAAACAACTATAAATATTTAATATTTGGTAAACATTATTACTAATATTTCTTAATGATTAATATATAATCATTTTGAGTTTCTTTAATTATTATCATATCTTCTTCTTCTTCAGCTTAACAGTCCTTGAAGGACCTGAACTGTCACAAACAGGGGTGGATAGACCCATAGGGAAAAAGGGATTTTCCCTGTGAGCCCTCGCCCTATAATATGTTGGTGGCCCCCTCGACACCATTAATTTTTTCGTGGAAATTTATTATTTTTTTTTTTATAGTTAAATTATTTAAATTAAATAATAAATAATATAATAATATTAAATAATAATAAAGGTAAATATAATATATTTTTTAAAAGCAATTTTTTTTTTCCATTTTAGTGGCCCCATTAAAATATTTCCCTGTAACAAAAAAACTACCTATCCCACCTCTGGTCACAAATATTATTATATAATATTAATTAATTTATAATATATATAATTAATTTATATAATTATTATCATATCATGTTCTTAATATGTTATGTTGCAGTATGAATTCAAGTGAATACCTTAATTTTTATAATTATTTATTATTAGTATTATTATGTCACACAGTGTAATTTATATCTCAAAATATTTAATTTATTAAATTAATGAAGCTTACAATTAATTCTTATACCCTAAAAAAAATGTACTTAAATCACCTAATAACATTTATCATTAATCATTAAGTTTCATTATTTATGTCTAAGTAATTACAACAATAAATCATCTATTATTTTAATACACAGGTAACAACACTAATAAATTACCACAAAATAATCCATTTACATTACAACAACAATTACGTCAATCGTCATCACACAGTGAGTTTCAATAATTAACTGACTGAAACCATATTTTTGATTATAACAATTTGTTTTCTTTAGATTTGGATTGGTCATCTATAGATCCAGCAATAGTAACAGCAACACCACATTGCAATTTATATACAACACCACCACCGCCACCAGGTTTTAATATGAGACAAGCATTTGACTCAAATCTATGGTTGTTTAACAACCTCATATAAAATGTGCCTTTACCTCCATGTGATACTTGCGCAAGAAAGATATAGTAATGGCAGAAATTTGTATTTCAATATCGGTTTGTATAATATTATGATAATTTATTTTAGTTGTTGTACTCGTGCCAAAATAATGCCTTACTTTGCTCTTATCTCTATGGATTCACAGAAAACCATGTCTTCTCTCAATTATTTATTTTGAAGTTTTCGTGTAATAATCAACTTGAAAACTTATAATGATTATGAAATTCTTCTTTACTTTTGGCTAAAGTACAACATAAATTTTATATTTTAATATAATATAATGAAATTGTTTTTTAGTTGTTGTTTTTTTTATTGTTTTTACAGAACCTAGCAAAATCCAGCGCAATATTTTAATTTAATTAAATGAATTATTAACGATTCAAGAAAATAAAAATTGCCAAACATTTATTATTAATACATTTATTATCTTAATTATTATTCTTAAATATTATATAAATTGAATATCATACAATTATTTAGAGCTGCTTTCAACATCATTTTATTATTTCATTTTAGTTAATAGTTCTTTTAACATTTAAATACAGCCTAATTATTAACTCTGTCAAAATTACTGGAGGTAAACACGTATTGTGCAAAATGGAATATTAAAAAAAAAAATTATTTAATTCTTTTATTGATTACTATTTTATTTGCTCAAAATGTTGTTATAAAATTGAGTAAATGTCATATAAATGAAATGGGAATAAAACTACTCCTGATTTTAAGAAATAATATTTTAGTATAATTTTAATATTTTATTGTTACATTTTTATCAATAAGCCAACTGTGTAGCAAAATATTTTCCAATTTAAATAATTTCGTCTGATATTTGTACATTTTCTATTTATTTTAAATAATAACAATACATTTGACTTGTTTGTTTTAAGACTTTTTGAGGCATAATGTTTATTATAGACTGGGCTTTTTTTAACATAAGTTCTACTATGTAAATAGAACTTTAAAGAAAAAAGTATCACCGTTAAATTTAAACTAATTATGACCTAGGAATCATTCTAAAAATTAAATTTGTTCAAGCTGTAGAAATGAAATAATAAGTAAATATTTGGCCCCAGCCCAATGCCAAAAACAGATTAAGTTATTGAAGTTGTTGGGTAATTCATATTGAAATAGAGACAAACCAAAATCACCTAATTATAGACATATTTAATAATTTTTAAAGTTCATCTTCAATGATAACCAACTAAAAATTTTATTTTAGTTTATACTCAACACCTAAATTATCAAATTAATAACAAATTGTATAATACAGCATATTATTAACATTAAGTAAATTAATAAAAGTATTGAACCATTTATTCATAACCATTCTTGTTACCAACATCGTATAATACTTAATAATTATTAAGAATTGAGTATCACATAATACCAATTTTTTGCATTGGTCAAAATTTCAGTTGACGCAATAACCATACCATTAATACATTTTAAATTTAGTAAGGACCTCTTTAATGTTATATGAATGTGCAAAAATATAAAAAAAATTAAAATAGTTCAGGGTCTGGGTACAGAATACATATTTGAAAATACAGTTTGCCGTGAACATAATACAACCCATGCAAATAACTAAATTAATAATTTTAAATAACTGAAATAATTCCATGAAAAATAAAAATAATCTTCAGGTATTTTGTCAATAATTACTTTAATTACTTGTATATATATTAAAATCCTTGGGATAAAGAAATCAAAGTAACAACTGAGAGTTCTTAGGAATATAGAAAACTATAAATTTATTAATATTTAGTACAGTATGTTACCTGAAAACAATAGTATATCAAGGGTTGTAACCCCCCCCCCTCAAAAAAAAAAAATTAGAAAATTTTACACAATATAAATTAAACAAATTCCATACACTGATTTCGTTATCAAATTTTATTTCAAAACGTGATCTATTGTTTTAAATATGAATTATTATTATAATTTTTTTTTTTAATACTTTGGTTTTTCTGTTAAGTGATGTGCAACTGATCAACCCAACCGAAAAAAAGAACTTGAATACACTACTGCACATTGCATTTTTTTCACTAATTTAGGCAAGACAAATATCGTAGAGTGCAAATATTTTGTCACCTAATTGATAGTATTTTGAAAGACTGGGTAAAATTATGCAATGCGAATGTGAAATACCATCATAATATTATATAGGTATTGACTATTTTGAAGTAAAAAAAATTATTTGTTGTCCATTCCTTATAAAATGCACTGCTACTGCATGAAAACAATACAATAACAATTATTTGACTGACCACAATGTTAAAAATTGCCAACAATTTTAGAAATTACCTATGTACAGATATAGTATCTCATTCATCGAAATACATTAGAAAATTTGCATTTGTTTACAATAATATTTAATTAAAAGAACTTTCATGAAATACAAAAATGGAACTGAAAAATTTGCCAAGAACATTTCGCCTCGAAATTGTACTTGGTCACAATAATGATGTTAAATATCTCGACCACTGTCCGATGATAAACGAATGTAAGATCGTGACCATGTAAATAGTATGGCGTAATATTACCGAAAGATAAAAGAAACATCAATTATTGTTGTCTAGAAACACGATCAAGTTTATTGATACTTCAAAATGAAGGCACTGGAAACAAGTACCACTCCCGTTGGAAAAAAATAAAGTATATTTAGAAGAACATAAGAATATATAAAAAAATAAATTTTTTAGTACAATATTGTCACATTATTTTTGAGAGGGTCGAAACCCCTCTCAAAACATCCCTGCATACGCTTATGATTAGCTATAATACATGTATAATTTCATCTATAAATGTCCCGACCATAAAGAGATATTGGATCCGCTCTTGACTAAACGTAGGAAAGTACTAATATCGAGTGAAACGTCAATACAGTACTGCATACATTAATTGCAATTACTATTAACCAATAAGTGTCTCACTCAAAGACGATAAGCAAATTAAATAAACAGAAAAAAAAAATAAATATTCGTGTTACGCATTCCGATTGACAATTTTTCACGAATAGAGCTGTAAATTTCCGCTGAACAATGTCGAGTTACTGTTGTTACTGATCAACATTGTTCGCCATAAATCGTATTGGTTTATACCGCTCACAATTCCACGCGATCCACAATGCAGACGGTTATAAAATATATTTAGATATTTTTTAGGTAATCCAGTGAAAAAAATAAAACTCCGTAATCGCGTGACACATGTTCGTTACATGAACCATTCCATATGTGTAATTAACTACCCCGTTAAGACCTAACTCGGAGATAATGAAAACGTGTTTACAACATCATAAATGAGTTCAATGTCCGTAAGAAAAAATGTACCATTCAATGAAATTAAATCTTTTTTCCCTTTTTCACAATATGATATTGTAATCAAAATAATATTAATATTCAAAACGCTTATTATAATTTTGACTATAAATAACTTAGAAAAATTTATTCCATATAACTGATAATCGTATGTCGACGCGACACTGTGTCTTTGTTTTTAAATTTCAATCGGTAAATAGATTTTATTCAATTTCGTACAGGCATTACTTTAGCTTTATACTATTTTAAGTATGCTTAATCATCGCCTGGGGTATACGAAATGTAATCTTATAGCGAATAAAATCTATCATGGTCAGATTGAAAAATATATGATTTTGATAGATTGTAGTTCTCTATTTTTGCTTAACATAAATCCATAATGCATAAAAATGTTTTAGTTATTAATCTTAAAAAATTAGAGCAAGGAAAAAAAATCTTTTGGTCAATTAAAATATTTAATATTTAATTTAATCAGTCAATTGTACAATGCAAGTTAAATTATCATTCTACTTGATTATATATTTACAACAGTTTTTTTAATTTAATATAAAAGCAGACCAATTCGGTTAGAAGAAATTTGTAATATTAACTTAATTTTGTTAGCAAAACATTATTTGACTCAAATTAAACTAACATAAAAAGGCAACTATTCCAAAGATAAAAAATACCTAATATACTTAACTAAACAAACTAATGATATCCATTAAAAAAAAGTAATAATAAAAATTAGGAATTGGTAAAAAAAAGTATTTCGAGTTCTCCAAATTTGAAATGTTTCATTCTTGAGTTTGTACAATAAGCATAATGCTTCCTTGAGAGTTGTGACATTCCACTTGATGGTTATTCCAGTCTTTACTTTGACAAAATGTAGAACAATACGGTGTACGACGACACAATGAACACTCAGCAAATGCATCTCTATTACAATTTGCACACTAAAGGAAAGACAATTGATTAATATTTGGAAAAATATTTTACTTTTGAATAACGTGTGTAATACCTTTTTAACATCTGGTATATCGTCAGCACTAGGTTGTAGGCCAGCAGTCACACTTGAAATTGTCTCCACATCAAAATCATTCCTATAAAAAAAATTGGCATTTATAAGAGATTAATATATTAAAAAAAAAATTTGAAATCACCTATTTTCAATAGAATTTTCTTTGGCTCTTTTGAGTTCAGCTAATAAATCCTGTTTTTCCGTATTCCACTTGTACTTGGCAACACGCATAGAATTGCGAAAATGGTGAACCATTTTTATCATCCTTGATGACATCTTAGTTTCAAATAACATAATATCAAAAAATAGTATTGTACGAAAAATTATTTTTAGAAATTTTTCATTCAATTAACTTACATTTTCCAACTTTTTAAACATATCTTCAATAGAATCATTTGATTGTACAATGTCAGCTTGAGAAATATCACCAGTCTGTATAAGTAGAGGTTCTTCATCTTTAATATCCCCATTATCCATCGATATACCAACACTACTATCACAACTATCTTCATCGTTACTCATAGTAGTGCCATCTTCAAGTTTTGTCTTTTTTGAATTACTGGATGAATGTTTTTTGGTACGTATTCGTTTATACGGTGTAAATAGTCGTATAGGACCAGTCTAAAAATATATGAACTGTGAAAATAATTTAAACTCGGAACAACACAAAATAAAAATACAAAGAAAAATAAAGATTATTTTGAAGCACTGATTAAAATGCAGAATTTTTGCAGAGTTGTAGACTAACCTCCAGATTGAAAAATATAAAAAATGGATTTGATTATAAATATTAACACAATTATAAAAATGAATATATGTACCTTAAATGTACCTAAGGTAAACTAGAAAATATATAAGCAGTAAATGTTACAACCTTTCAAAACTTAATTGAATTTTTATTAATTTTAGTTAACCAATTATGAGTTATAGTTTAATTCGAACATTAATTTAAATATTTCTAACAATATTCTGATAACAAATTAAAATAATTTATTCATGTATCTATTTATTAACAAATTTAATTGACTAATTATAACAATGAACTTACTGCGGATTCATCATCACAACAAGCTGCACATGTACAGCTCATAGCATGTGGTAATAAAACCCCATCGTATATTAATGTTTGCAAACTACGGCCACCAAATCGTATACTCCTTTTCCAGTCTTTGCTAGAAGCCCTCCCACAGAGTGCTTCAAATTCACTAGGTGTGTACCACTGATTTCCAAACTTAATGCATTTTCCTCTACAGCCAGAACCAAATTTTTTTTTATGAAGTTCTGCATTAGTAGTCTATTGATGTGATCAAAAAATTATTACATAATAACAGGAGTACTTTAATAAGTTCCTAAGTATGCTTACTTTGCATCGGACAGGTAATATTGGCAACCTTGCAGCCTCGGAATAGGAATAGCAAGGAGTTGTGTTTGGAGATGATACACCTTGGTCAGTTTCTTCCTCATGAACATTATTGGAGGTCGAGTTGTCTGATCGAAGAACAATATGAGCTGTTTTGAAAGTGCCATCCTAGAAAAATTGAGTTATATGGTTATTAATAATGATATATTTATAAATTCCTAGTATTAAATTACCTCACTTCGAAGTACAGTACGCCAAGTATCATTATCAACCTGAGTGCGTGAATCACAATTTAAACAACTGTTATCTACACATATCAGAGGTTTAAATTCGTTTGATTCAGATAGCTAAATCAAAAATCAAAAATATTAATTATTAATTTTAAAGTGGGGAAAAATATTTAACCATCCAAAACATTTAAGATATTGGCCCTGAGGATGAATATATTTAATATACTGTACATATAACATGTTAAATTCTAGGTTAACTACACAAAAATAATACATGAACAAGGATGTTCATCGAGTGAACAGTTCGTCGAAAATAATTTCAATGGGGACAAGAAAATTAACACCACAGAATAAATTAACCTATTTACACGTTTAATAAATCTGAAAAGAAATATGTTTACCCATTGATACTAAGTACTGCAATATGTCCGCTTTAGCATTGCCGCAAATTATTGATGAATTTAAGGGAAATAACACGATTGGAAATTCGGAATTTTCATCCACAGGTGCCTATAAGATTCAAAAATTGCGCATCATTCAAGTATAATTTGGGAATACCATTTATTGCGGGTGTACTAATTTAATTTTTCTGAGTTAAGTCAATGAAGACTTGTCCGATTAGTTTAATCCACCGCAGGTGATTATTTCAGAAAGGTAAAAAAAACGAACAATCCCCCCCCACCATCCAAAAAAATTATAATTTTGTTTGCATAAAGAATTTACCAAATTTTTTTTTCACACCCATTGAGAATTTACGATACCCCTCCCCCAGGAGATAGGTGTAAAATTGACATTGTCAAATGTCACAGAAACATCAACCGCTGTACCGTTCGCGCGGCGGACGCTTATTGAAAACAGTGATTGCATGTGTGGAAACTTGAGCGGTATTGCGAAGACCACGGTGATGAGGGTGGGTGGAAAAAAAATTGGAAAACAGAAAACGGTGGGAACGGAAATATTGCAACGAGTAATGGCGCGCGATCGGTCGGAGTGAAACGCGATGATTTTTACCTGCAGCGAATCCGCGGAGATGACGTTGAACGTGCCCGCGGCCGACACGTTAATGAGCTGTCCGACGGGTATGGAAGACACTTGCACTTGAGACGACGTGACGTGTTCGGCTGCGGCCGTGGTGTACGAGGCGGCCGACACGGAGACGTCCGACGACGACGGCCCGTTACGGTTTTCTTTCACGACGTCGGCGGCGGTGACGACTACGACGTCGGCGGCCCTCGTACCGGTCTCGGCCATGTCCGTCTGCTCGGCGACATTTTCCGAATGACGCTGCCGGCCGCCACCGCCACCGCGTTCGTCCATCGTCGCCGCCGCCGCCGCCTGCAGTCGCTGTTGCGTGTGGTGCGTCTGTTGTAGATGTCGACGGTTTTGCTGCTGCTGCTGTTGATGCTGTTGCTGCTGCTGTTGTTGTTGTTGTTGCTGCAGCTGTTGTTCTTCGTCCGCGTAACCGCCGCTGTCGATCACGGACATTTTTCCGTTTACCACGTTTCTACAGAATAATACAATATTATCCGTTCCCTCCAACTCGTCGATGTGCAGCGACAATCGATCGGAATGAAATGTGCGAAAAAAAAACCGTCAGTAGTTGGGGGGCCGTCGGGTGCGCGCGTCGAGATTTAGTGGTCGATCGGGTTTCCCGAGGGGCGAAAAAAGAAATAGAAATTAATCCGTGTTGAAATGCGTGAGGACCTTTCGCGTTCCGTTCGTGTGATCACGGCATTTCCGCTCCGATCGGGGCGTGCCGAATGCGGAAACGGGTGGGCGCAGCGGTACGCAATATCCGGGGTATCTCCGATGACGATTCGCTCGACGCTGCAGGTCCCGTGTTATCGATGTTAATAATAGTAATAATAATAATAATGTGATCGCGTATTATCTACAATGATATGTTGCATATCGTCCACCGACAAATATTTGTACGCTCAACTATTGTGACTTGAGTGGCAAATAAATATTTACTAAGTTTATGGTGTTCTTACGCACAACGATTAATATAATAAATCTTTGTATTTTAATGTATTTTTTTTCGGGCATCGATTAATATTCATAGGAACCCATAAAACAGTGTTTTTAACTCGGAAAATCCATTAGTCCGTCACTGCCGATACACCGTTGCAGTTCGGCAGTTTCGTCATCGCCAAATGTTCGCACGTACTTAGACCACCACGGATTACGTACTATGTAGTCCGACTACGCGTTCGTTTTCCGCCTACGAAGTTTTTCTTCATTTCCCGCTAGTAATGTTCGATCGATTTGTTGGCAACACCAGTTAATAATTAAAAAATATAATACAGAATATTACATCGAATTAAACGACATTGAACATAACCTCAAACGTTAACAGTATCCAACGACAAAATCGTACACACCACTATAACTGCTCACCAAGCTTGCTTGCACTTCTACAGTTGTTTAATCATATCGAATTTCCATACGAGAACCACTTTACGAGTTACAGATCTCTATATCTATATTTTAATAAAAAAATACCTGTACTATGGGTACATAATAAAATAGTATCATTTTTCTTCATACAGGGAGTCGAAAAGAACGTATAAACGGGAATGTCGATTAGTTTTTGTCGTATGCGATTAACATTTTACACGGTTGCGTTTGTAAACACATTTTTTCCCCAGATTTGTTCTCCTCTCAAACAAATAATTGTAGAAAATACCTATATTATACATGTAAACTAAAAATCATCTAAGACCTGTTCGTTGGCTTATAATACGCTGGGCGTGTTTATAAGTGCCCAAAATATATAAGCAACAAATAATACAAATATACTTAAAATATACTTACAATTTGAAAGATTCGTAAAGCCATATGAATTGTTAATTTATTTAGATTGACGAAAACCAAGTATTGGAAGGACACGTACTTTTCATTTTTTTGATAACGTTTCTTAAAATGCTTTATAAATGAATACATAAAAATTTGTTTTCTAAATTAGTAACTATATTATTCTTAGGGCGAGTCCAGACCAAGAAACATTTGTCGTCGACTTTGTCAACAATGTCGGCGACAAAATGTTTCTAAAAATGTCACCAACAAAATTTAAAAACAGGCGCGTCCACACCAAAGCAACATATTTGCTAAATATTTGTGAATTAGTCTTGGTGAAAATGTGGAACGAGAAAGACGTTGCTATGACTGCAGCTGCTTGCGTAATTTTAAGTTTGGAAACGAAAAATACCTCCAAAAAGAGGTATTGGGTTCGTCTTAGTCTTTTAGCAAAACAAAAGTACAGTGGAAATGATTTAATGACTGATCTTAAACGTCATGACATTGGTCTATCTGGAGAATTGAGGTAAAATTATATTTGTTACAAATTAAAATATCAATTTATCTTTATAATTAATTACTTAAACATTTTTAAACATTTTCTTATGTAGGTGTAATGGTAGTTTTAAGAATTTTCTACGTATGTCAAGCGCAGATTTTGAATATTTAATAAATCTTGTGGGTGATCGAATAAGTAAAAAAGACACAAATTATAGACAGTTTTTTCGTGGTATAAATCAATTAGATGACAAACACTTTCTTTCGACCATTCCATTATTTGATAAAAAAAAAAGTTAAATATCCGTTCAAAAGAAATGTACTGGTTAAAATATGCGATATATACAGACGGACCAGGTGAACTTTAACGGATAACCAAATATGACGTGTATTTATAAATGTTTATCGACAAAATTTAACAGGTCTGGACGTGTCAATACATTGTCGGTGACTATGTTTATAAACATTGTCGCCTTTTTCCCGAGTCGAATGGAAAACAAAAATTTGTTGGAGACAATGTCGTCGACACAATTGTTGGTCACAAATTTCAGAAACATTTCTGATTTTTGTCACCAACATTTTCGGCAACTCATGTTTCTGACAAATGTTTCTTGGTCTGGACGCGGCTTTAGACAATTCATAAATATTGTAGCAAAATCCGTCCCTCGTGGATTAACGTACGCACAACTATGACGGTTGTTAAAAAAAAAAAATAATGTACATAGTACAAATGGGGTTTTCGGGGAATGAGAAAAGATAACAGAATACAAAATTTCAGAAAAATTTAAAATTATTTACCAGAACGGCACGCGTATGTGCAATATAACTTGTTTTTTTATATATTCGAATAGAATATTTTTTTTCAAAAATATAATGTTAATTTTGTAAATTTGGGGCCTTCAAATTCCGAGGTCCCCGGCCTTAGCCCTTTAGGCTCATTAATGCCTTAAGACGGCTCTACTGATGGCTCTACATCCAATCATAATACTGAATAACAAAAAAAAAAGAAAAAAGTGATTAAGGAAACTGTTGTGCTTGGGATGTGTCACGCGATGTGGTGGAACCCAGAAATCAAGCCAGCTCAAAAGTTACACCCAACACATCTTTGCTATGGCCCTCATCGCTTTCCTTTGATAGATGAGTGAGCGAGGTGTCACTAACTGATGATATTCGAGAAAAAAAAAACAGCTAATAACGGACCTTTTGATGACGGATCCACGTCAATATTAATTTATATTTATATATACTTATTTATTAAATTAATTCAATAAATATATTACTATATTATAAATTAAAATGTATTTATTTTAATAATTTTAAGAAAATGTCAATCAAATATTATTTAGTCCTTTTTAAATGAAATATTACGTAATTTAATATATGTATTCCTTATTTGTATAATCTAATATACTTACTAAATAGCCAAATATTATTACAATAAATATACACAAAAAAAAAGTAGATTATTTTGCTCTACACAAATGCAAGAGTGGGATCAATATAGGATTTTTCTCGTCAGGCATTACAACAACACCTTCACTACCTTCAATTGCCATCATATTGCCCATTCTATCTCTATATGATCCACATAGAACTTTCACATAGTCATTTGATTTTGGCATGATGGGTTCCAAATTATCATTTTCTATAGTGACTACACGTTCTTCTTCGGGCAAATAAACACTACAAGTTGCTTCACTAACATCTCTAATAATTCCAGTTTGTCCTGCCAAATCTGAATCAGCAATACGAACAAAAATATCTGTGGTTTGCCATCCCGGTGGTAAACCTACAATCCATAAAATGATTTAAATGTATTATTGGCAACTATAAATAGAAAATAACTGCTAATCTGATTAAATATTTGTATACCAAATGATGTTAATGAAGGAGCTGCCAATCCTGGAGAAGATACTGATGATGGAGTCATTAAACTTGCATATGAACCTGAAGGCGATGGTGCTGGATGATACTGAATACTACGAGGACTGGCAGTATTTGGACTTGGGGTATTTATATAAGAATTGCTACCTTTAATAACAAAAACAATACATTTTACATTAAATTAAGGATATATAAATCTAGAACTTACTATTATATCCACCACCTCCAGATGGCGATATCGCTTGATACGGCGAGTAAGAATGATCTGAAGAACCATACAATGTGTTTGGAGTTTGTGCATAAGGAGTTCCAGGATCCATAGGGTAATCTAAATCACCATCTGTAACTCTTGCAGGAGTATACCCAGCAGATGGATCCCAAGCTTGAGTAGGTGTTTTAGAACCATCATGTGATGGAGTAACATTTCCAAAGTGAGGTGTACGATTGCCCACCTCATAGTTGGGTGTCATTATGCCTTGCACAGGAGTCTTGCCTCCTTCACGGTATCCTGGAGTCATCATAGCATTAGCTGGTGTTCTAGAGTATGATGATGTTTTTCCATCCTTGGATTGTTGTCCAACAATTGTAATATTTCTCCTATCCACCGATATTGTTTGACATGAAGAATGAAGTTCAACTCTAGCTGTACACTCTGTTGCATCTTTTACAATACCAACAGCACCCTTGTAAGGGCCACCAGTAATTCTAATTGTCTGGCCAATTAAATCTCGATCCCTTCGAACTCCGCCAAATCTACCTCCTGCCCCTCCGCCACTTCCACGACCACCGCCGGCAGCAGCACTACCACCAGCACCAAACGGACTACCTGGAGTATAACGAGGTGATGTAATTTGCGGAGATGCAAATCCATTTTGTGGTGCAGATATGGCTTGCTAAATAATATATAGTGAAAATCCAATAAGAATAAAATTACAGAATAAAATATGCTAATGTACTACTTTATTAGTGGAGTTTCCAGCAAGAGCGATGTGTCTCAAACGACAAACAAAAATCCCTCCATTGTCGGTCATTAAACGAGAATATAAAAAAGCATGGTGACGATATAAATGTTTGATTTCACCATGCATACCCTAAATTATACCAAATCAGTTATTACTCAAATAATGAACTTATTTAGTGTTTTTTAACATATAAACAAAAGGTTAAATTACTGTGTGTGGACCATCAATAACTTTAACAATATCTTTTCTTTGGATTGAACTTCCCAAAGCATCTACTCCAATTGTATTCCTATGTTCTTTTTTCTTGTTCAAAGATTGTGGTTTAGCTTCAACCAACTTTCCTGACATATTCAAAATATGCATTTTTTCACGCTCAATCCGTACTATTACTCCAACATTTTGCGGGCTATAATGAAATATAAATATTATAGTTCCATATTGATAGAAAAGTTTTAAATACATACTCTAACTGTACAAGATCTCCCCATTGGAATTGACCAAGAGAATCAACACCAGATGCCATATCAGAGCACAATTGTAAATCACGAGGAAGAACTTCAAGTTCATGCATTGTAACATCAGAAAATAACACAATACGATTTTGTTCTACACGTACAATAAGTCCTGTATCACCCTCATAACGTCCTCCTACAACTCTTACATGATCACCTTGTTTAAAAAATTTCCGTAATTCATTAGCCATGAACTCCAGAGGCATCTAAAAATTTAATTATAAAAAAATTATTTAAAAATTAGACTATCATAGACTAAAAAGTTTTTACTTTGAGTTCTTCGTGTTTTGGCATAATAGTGACCATATCACCATCAATTGATAATACTTTTCCTTGTAAATTGATTAACTCTCCAGTGCATACTTCAACATTATCACCAGAACTTAATGACTGACTGTTAGCAGAATTATCTTTATTTGACACAGGTAATTCTATGTCTATGCCTTCAGGTGCTTCTTCAAATTTTTCAAGTTCAGATAAGGTAGGTTTGACTCCATCAGCAGTTATTGCATTCATATAGAAATTTTTGTACAAAAAGCCTTTACGACTATACCTATTTCCTTCAAATATTAAAAAGTCACCATCACTAGTAACTTCACCACCTATAGCTCTGATAGCTTCTGGATCAAATGGCTTAGCTGCAGGACGTCTTTTTTTCTTTCTCTTCAAAGCTTCTGGGTCCTAAAAATGATGATACAGTTTAATAACTAATATATTTTAAGTTATATAATAGTCTACCATTGATGCTCTAAGAGCACCACGAGGTCTAGTGTAATCAATCCTTGGGAGTAGTTTTAAATGTACATGGTTTTGAGCTAAATCTACATAATCCACCTGAGCTATGTCATCTTTGTATAGACCTATTATAAATAAATAATAAATATTACTCATGCTTAAAAATTATATTTCTATCAATTTTATAATAAATTAAAATATTAAAAAAATCACTATATACCTCTTTTTAATCTAACCCATTGCTTAGATCTTAAACCTGTTTGTACTTTAACAACTTTTAATACATCAGTCATTTCTTTAATAGGTACCATTTGTTGTTTCCAAAATCCCATTTTAAGACTACTAACATTTTCAATAGCTGACTTGACATGAGTTTGTTTATAAGATTCAATATATATATAGCCCTTAACACCTTCAGGAGAAACTATAGATTTGATTTTTAATGGATCTTCAGTAAACTGATAAGCAATATACTTGCGCATTAACAATAAAGCTGTATTTTTTTCATCACCAATACGACATTTTACCATCCATAAATTAGGGTCCCTTTAATAAGAAACATATTAAAACATGTATAATTCATAATATTATTTAACCTTACTTAACACCAGGTAAAAGAGTTTGTTGTGTAATTTCATCTGCTAATTCTTCTCCAGCATCTCCAAAATGTTTTATTGTAGCTGAAGCATCGGCATATTTTTTACGCAAATATTCTTCAATTTCATCTTCATTTTGAGTACTAAAAGGATATAACAAAAATTTCAAAACCAAAATATATGCAATGTATTTGCATACAAAATAAACTCATCTATGTTTTTTCAAGGTAAAATAGCTATAATTTAATAACAATTGTTAAAAACTTACTCCCAGAGATTAGTTCCACGTCTTCGTCCTTCAATTTCTCTTGCAGTTGGACCTAGTTCATCAACTTCATTAGCAACAATACCATATTCACCAGCCCCATCTTCCCAATCATCATCTTCTTCAGCCTCATCATCTACATCAGCTTCGTCAATAATAAAACCACCAAATCGTTCATTTTTCTTCTTTTTCTTGCCCGGGCGATCATCTTCTTCATCTTCTTCTTCATCATACTCCTTCCAAATTCATAAACAAATATAAAAGCTATTTTATTAGAAGTTAATCAAATCATTATTTAAGGTACACTACATTCAGATACTCCGAAGGTTCAAAAACAATAAAAAATTAAATGAATTATAACTTACATCTTCAGAATTTAAATCTTCGCCATCTGGTTCTTGTTCATCAGCAACTTCTTCTTCACTACAACAATAATTATATTTTATACTGAAAGTAAATATTAAAAAATTCAAATTTACTGATTATTTTCTTCAGCTTCGGATCCACTTGGTGAATGACTACGGCTTCTACTTGCACTGCGACTTGATGCATGCTTACGATAACGTGGATTTGATTCCTCCTACAAATATTAGCAAAAACAATATTAAATTAATTTAGTTATTTTCTATTTAATGAAACATGTAAATTACCTCAGCTTCACTTCCACTACCACCACGAAAACTACCTTGATCACTGTCGTCGTCTGACATTTTCTTATACAATTTTAATTTTTTTTTTTTCTGTTGATCAAATTTAATTCAACTCATAAATAGTACCAATTAAAATGAAGCTAATAACAAATGTTTCGATGTCTCAAGATTGAGATTGCTTCATTGTTATATCTCAAGTTTATGGTTGTATTATAGTTTGCATTAGCTAAAAACATTTGTTATCAATTAATATTTGATATCAAATTGTCAAAGAGGTTGTACAAATCATTTCATAACATAAAAAAACATATTACCGCGATTTTCAAAGTTATATTTAATGTGCTTTTTTTTTTTTAATTAATTTCATTCAAACAGTGACGTAGTGCATATTTTAACTAATATATTATTAGTATACATTTATGTTGCCTAGTAAATATTTTTTGTGGTCTAGAAGATGATATATTTAATTATTGAGCAACAACAATATTTTGGTAAAAATTGAGGTATTTATAATTATTTTATAATTAATGCTTGATTTTGTAACTTGTTTATCATTTCGTTTGATGATTTGAAGTAGAAATATAAATTATATTATCAGTATATCTACAATGGAAAACCCATGCAATAAAAACGATACGATATTGTATTCTATAGAATGTTTGAAAAAAACGTTCAGGAACAAACGTTCACGAGTTCATGTTCATATTTTATGAATGACACTCGCTTTTATCAGATTAAACATGAACACGGAAAACGTTTAAATTTTTAATTAATTTGAAAGATTTTTGGAGTTTTCAAATTTATTTACCATTTTAAAAATATTTAACTATAGGTTTTAAACATAAAATAAAATATACCTAATAAATTTTGTAAAGTTCCCATTTATACAGAATGCAGGTAGATTTTTCCTTAATATAAAATAAAAAAATTTAAATAAACGACCAGATGTAAGCGTTCACTTTTTCATAGAAACTGAAGGTGAATGAGTTCCTCTTTAACGCACTAAATGTGAATGATTGCTATTTTTAACTAAATGTTCCGAACACTGATGACATATAACAATACCATAAACTTGTTAATTAGTGCATTCATATAGTTAATAAGACATTTTAACATTTAAAATTTAAAAATATAAAATTGCAATCTAAATTCATTATTTGCATATAAAAAAATTTGTGAACGCTATTTCTATTCAGACATAAATAAAAATTAAATTATATTAATTATAAATACATTTATTAATGTATTATTAATTAATATTTAAATTTAAATAACAATTTTTCAAAAAGACTACAAAATGAACTTTACTTACTTAGTACTCATCATTGCATATAAGAAAGTATACAATCAATATTTTATAGTAAGTATTGTGGTACAATGGTATAAAAATGAAATTTGTACTATTTTATGTTTTTGTAATCAAAATAATGTATTCACTTCCAATAATGCTTGTTAAAAACATCAACTTACGATTTTTAATTTTCAGATACAATTGTTGTGTACTTAATTCCAATTCAGACTTATGACATATTATTATCATTTATTGTATAAATCGGTTGAATTTGAATATCTATATTAATAGTTTATTAAAAGAATTGTTCAACATTCATATAAAGTTATTATAATACTACTAATAATAATAATAATGGTTATTCCTTCAAAATACAATTTAGAATAAAAATATAATTAGAAGTGTATACAATAATGTAAATGGTGAGTTACAATTAATGATATACATTATTAATTAATAGTTAGTTAAATATTTCTAGATTCGTAAAATGAACTTACATTTTTTGATTAATAATAAAAATAAAAATAAGACAATAAAGAAAAAAATTATTAATTAAGATCGTTAATTATAAGAAAACAATGTTATATAACTTATCATAACTTAAAATAAATAAAAACCTATAACATTATTTTTTCCATAAATCCAGAAAACTTGTCAGTCAAAGTATTAGTATTAATATTTTATTTAATAATTTTTCAATAAATAATATGAATTAGTTTCACAAAACCATAATTATATTAAAGGCTTATATATATAAATATTTTTAGTTAAAAAGTTAATACCTAATATAATTAAAACAAATAAATAAATATAAACTTAAAATATTTTATAATTATTAGATTTTAAAATCTAATGGTAGTAATTTTGTCACACTTGTTACAAAAACATGAATACCATTTGGTTGGTATAAATAAACAGTCATATCATTATTTGGATCATTAAATTCTGTTAAAACTTGTCTGCAAGAACCACATGGGGGTACAAATTGGTTATTGTTCAAACCAGAAATAGCTATTTTAGTGAATTCTTTATGTCCTTCACTAACAGCTTTTACAATAGCAGTACGTTCAGCACATACTCCAAGACTTGTTGAAACATTTTCTACGTTACAGCCTGAAAATATGTTATCATTAACACATCGCACAGCTGCTCCAACTTTAAATTTGCTGTAAGGAACATATGCTTTCTCTCTAGCAAGTGTACATGTTGATATTAAGAGTTGATCATCACTACCTGTGAAACAAAGTTAATTTAGATCAAATTAAACTAGAGTAAACTTATAAAGGCAAAGAATTTTAAATAAATAAATAACCCAACTTTTAATAAAAAAATAAATAAAGGGAATAAGAAATCACTATAAAATTATAGTAATAAAAACTAATGTGGATTGAAACATAACTGAATAGGCTAATATAATCTGATGATGTATGTGGTTAAATTGAATAAAACGTCTATTGTAATATTGAAGAATGTTAAAAATTAAAATTAAGAACGAGAGTGAACGTCCTCAAATAATTGTAAAAATTACCAACTATTTAGACCAATCAATTAAAAAAACATTTAAAGCAATAATAGTCAATAACATGATTTTGAATGTTAAATGTCGTAATTGTTTTCAGGCAAAATAAAAATACACAGGATTGATTAAACAATTAGAATATAATCTATTCTGTGGTTAATAGACAAAAGTCCAGAATGATCACGGAGTGATAAATAATAATCCTGATAATAAAACAAATAATAGCTACACAAAATATATTATTTAGATAAGTATTAGCATTAATTATAGAATAAACATTGCATGAACTATCAGCTTATTATATAATTAATGGTACAAGTAGTAATGGTTAGTTTTAATTACTTAATTCGTCGAGCAGCACAATTTGGCCAATACCACGGTTAGAATCCATTTAACTGCAATTGTAATCAACAAATAATGATAATAATAATAATTATAATCAACAAAGTAGCACAAACCTTAGTGTTTGGTGATATTGGAGCGCGAACTAATTGATAAAATAATAAAAAGATAATTATACTTAATTTTAAATCTGAATCTTAATAGCAAACAAACGTATTACGAACTTAGAATTTATTACGTAATAGCTATGACAACTTCTGTTATGAAATCAGAAGACTAACTGAACACGTTTTATTATTTAATTTAAATTCTCTCTATAAACTATATAACACAATTATCGATCTTATTGGTTAACCCCACTAAAAAGATATTCTGCTACAATGTATATTTTCCTCTCTACGTAAAAAAATATACAACCTAAGAATTACCTCATTAATCTTAATTAGGTAATCATGTTATTCAAGCGTGTTGGAATAAAAAAAAAAAAAATTGTTTAACCTGCAGATAGAATTTGGCATCTGCTCAACACGTGATTGTTCGTGGTTAAAATTAAAACAGTTGCCTATACATATTACATACAGTTTATTTATTTAGGTCTAAATAATAATATATACATGAAATGTACTTGAAAATAAATAATTTGTAATTTATATTTATTTAACACCAATTATAAACTTAATCGCACTTAAATCATATTTTTAAATTAAATCTAGTAAATAAAAAGATAAAAACAAAATAGAGTTACAAAAATGTTCGATACAGATCAGAGATCAAACTATGATTTATTACATGTGTTGTTACGATTGTCCTTACAGTACCTATAATAATCCCATAGTCCCATGTAGACATAAAGTGCATAGCCGTCACCTGAAAAAAATCACACTTTTCATAGATCCTCTGTTTTAGATCAAGAAGCTGATTCAGTCAATAATAATTGATGCAGGTGATTAGAAAGTGGAGAAAAATTTGCATATTTATGTCAGGATTGAATTTTGAGGGAGAAACGGATAAATATATGTCCCTGGTGACAATGTTTCCATTAAATGAGTAATTTTAAGATAATGAGGTATTTTATTCAAACCCTACCAAACGGGCAATAATATAAATCATTCGATATTTTATAAAAATAAATCTTTTTTTAACCTACTTCTATTCTAGCTTATTTAAAATTGCCCGTCTATAATTGTTTAAATCAAATAAATGTTATAACAAAAATTTTAGTACACCAAATTGTTGTTTATTCAGTTGGTACTATTTGACAAAGTCGAGAGTACCGATAAAGCGAACGTATTTTAGTATTATTACTTATAAATTAAAAGCTCATATTCTTTTTTTACTGATAGGCACAATAATTTTTTATTACTTAAATTTCGACTATTCAGGTTTCGGTATATTTCTCCTTTACGGGAGACCCAAAATTTCGAATTTTTTCTTATATCAACTTATACATTTTTTAACGCTGAAAACGATAGTGTGGACAAAAATTGGGAAAGATGATTAGTTAAGAAGTTACAGCCTATTGAAATTTGACATTTTTGAATAAATAATCTATTTTTTCCATAATTATTATAAGTGTTGTCATGGTGCAGTTAGTAAGGCGGGACCACCATAAAATAGAGGGATACCGAGTTTTAGAATACCGTAGCAGCAGTGAAAATTAAAATACTTTTTGCATTTTTTTTCCACTTTTTTTTTGTAATCGGTATAATAATTATTGTATAATGAGGTTAAATCAGTACTTATAGTCCATTCCATAGCACTAGATATTCGATGTGCAAGAAAAAATACTAAAAAAGTACAAACAATTTTATTGACGATTTAGGGTTTTATTCACGTAGCGAGGTTTTAGGTTAACATACAGGGCATAATCTCATTTAAAACAGTATCAAAATTTATACAAAAACTAGGTTATGCTTAGACTATAATTCCTCTTGGGGCGAAGCCCCATCCCCCCGAAAAGTACCACCCAGAGGCACTCGAGTTTGTGAGTGGAGCCGACAGCGTAACGAGCGAAATCCTAAAATTTTTAAAATTAAAGTTCCGATTTTTCGAAAAAAAAAAAATGCAAACAATTTTCATTAAGATTAGAGATCAAAACCAGATACAAAATTATCGTTAAAAAAAAAAAATGCAAAATTTTATATTGCATGTGCGAGGAACGAACTCGATTACGGTGCGATCCCACGGAGCGAGGCGCATTATTCGACTATATACCGCGTCACCACGAACGCGCTTCTACGTAATCCCACGGCATGTAGCTCGGCGCGTTTCTAGGCGCAATTAAATGTAGTGCCAGTTTATTTTTTTTGGTTTTGAATTCTAGTGAGTATTGATCATAGTGTTCCTTTGCTTTATAGAGAAAGGACGTGTATTGGACGTTGGTTATAATTACCGTATTTTTGTATAAAAATATTTTTTATTACCATATTTATTACTATTTTATTGAATAATACAACAATGGGAAATCGTGATGAACTATAACTAAGGAACTATTTAACTATATGTATAATTATTTGTGGTTAGGACTACCCTCTGTATTTTGTGTGACTCGAGGTTGAAAAATTCCATGCAAAAATTTCATCATTATTCCATAGGCAAACCAGTCGGGCTCATATACGTCAACTATACCTGAACCAATATTTTTACTTTCTCTTACTTTTGAAGCCAGTCTTTGGAAAGTGGACATTAATGAATTTCTCTTTTTTTTAGCTCATTTGTAGTACCTACATGATGCACTAATGTTATTGGCAATCCTTTGCCATACATCGTTAACATGGTTCTTATTCTTATATTTTGGGTCTCTTGGGTTCCAAAAAGCAGGTGCCTTCTCATACAACTCCAAGAACTCAATAATAAGATAATTTGACCAATTCATAGTTATAAGGTTTTTTTTTAGTTTGAATAAAAAATTAAATAAAACTTATTTAAAACAATAATAATAAATAAAAACTTAATAAATTATTAACGAAAACGTTATTGACGAAAAATTGAACGAGCCGCGCCGCGCCAATTTCCTGTTGACGCGGGACACAAAAACCAACAATCATCGGGAACGGTCGCGCAATGTGGGATTAAATTATTTTATACATTATTAAAATATTTTTTAATATATAATTAATATTTTAGTATATATATTTTTTATTTTTATTACTAATTAAAGTACTGAAACATCCCTCCCTGCTCCGTTGACAAAACATTTCATGATAACCATTTCGGAAATTATTCGCAAGTAGCAATAGTTCTTCATCTGCTTCATACTCCAAAATTGTATAAAGCATAACCACGTCCATTTTGATGTACATAATACTACTAAACATCAACTGACTAAAATTTTCTACTCCAAACCACGTAGTCGTAAACATGCATCGTAGCAAAACACTCCCATTACGCATCACGCAAGCGTGATCGTGCAAATGCGCATCACGCACCATGCAATCACGGATGCGTAGTTATAGGAAACCACGGCTTAATTAAGGAATTGATTATATGTGAGATACACATTTCAAATTTTTTTAATGTGGATCATTTTATAACCAAATCAAATTACACCTTGCTGTGAATACTGAATTGGGTTTTTTGTCGAGTCCATACTTAGTGAAAAATCAAATAAAATACTAGCATAACTTTCAAAACACAGACAGGTGTTAAAACAGAACTACGCAAAAGTTGATTCTAAGTGGATCCGGCATTAGATTAAAAAAAAAAAAAAACCCACAAATATTAAAGATTCACCTAATTTAAATATTAACAAACATTTTATTTGTAAATTTTGAACTTGAATTGAAGAAAAATTTAAGCCCCCCCCCCCCTTAGAAGTAAGTCTGAATACGTCCCTGAAATCTATATAATAACATAACAATAAGTAAGCATGAAAGTCATATGAATATAATTGACATGGGTAACTAGATTGGGGAAAATGGCTCATTAGCAACAAAACTTTGGTTCTACAATAGATCATGGAACCAGTTCCTTTTTAGGCGTCGTTCTTGGTTTTCGGGTGAGAGGACATATTTCTTATAAGGGGGATCGTGTGGGAGTCGAATTTGAAATAGAACCATTTGATAGTTCTTTAACGGTTGGGATGTTCAGGTGTTTGTAAAGGGAGGTATTGCTGGTGTACCACGCTGCGTATTAGTCCAATCAAATTAGAAATAAATTCGGAACTAATTCCACGAAAGCAGGATTTTGGTTTTTTTTTTAGTTTATATCTCACTGATGAACATACTAAAAGTCCTGACACCTACCCCCTGTGCGTAGCTCTCCACACCTCTTCAAAGGGTGGCGCGCCCCTTTCACTATTTTCGCTTATAACTCGTCAGATTTTCAATTTACATTAAAAATACATATGACCAAAATTAAAGACCATAAAATATACCATAGACTTAATGTATTTTTTGTATATATATGTTGCGATAAGTGTTATACTTTAAAAAAATATAAAAAATAAAAATTTTTTATCTTTTTTTTATTGTGTTTGAGCAAAAACCGTCAATGATACGCTGAAATGACCTATGACAAAAGTTAACGAGCAGATAATTTTACATAATAAAACGTTAAATTATTTTAAAAATTTCAATTACCGTAAGTAATAATGTTTTTTATATCAGTAGTAGCGATATGATTGAACAATTTGTTGACAATTACAAAATACAAGAATCAGAAATTTAATTACAATCTACTAAAAAAAATTGCCGAAAGCTGAATTTTGGTATGTGAGTAGTTTATATTTTACTTATAAACATACCAAAAGTCCTGACACCTACACCTTGTGCGTAGCTCTCCACCCCTCTTCAAAGGGTGGCGCGCCCCTTTCACTGTTTTCGCTTATAACTCGTCAGCTTTTCAAGTTACAATAAAAATACCTATGACTAAAATTAAAGACCATAAAATTTACAATAAGAAAAAATTATTTTATTTGACATACATATTTATAAAAGTGAAATATAAAGAAAAATTGAATTATGAAATAACTATTAATTACAATCATTTTTAAAATAAATACAAAAATTGAAAATTATACATTTATTTTTATTTTTTCAGACTATAAGTTACGAAATTAAATTTAAAAAATGGTGTAGGTCCTGGAATGGTGTAATGGGGATGTAGGTCCTGAAACAAAATTAATTAATATACTTAATATTTTCATATTTATATTATATTATGTATTGAATTATTAAAATCATACTGTACCTTATTAATTAAATTATGTGGGTCGAATTTTTTTATTGTCCGTGTGTTGGTTTCTTCTTTTTGATTTTCAATTAGATTTATTTCGTCAATATAGTCCTCTAAATTGTCTTCTTCTTTATCATCTATGATCGGTTGCTGATTTAAACACGAACCACCTTGACAATGCTTGCATGTAACTGAACATAGCAATCTTGCTTTTCGACAGCTACAATTTTGTTCACATGTTTTTGTGCAAGCACAACTAATCACATTCAAAAGAGTATCCGGTGCTGGTGACTTTTTCGTGAAAACTGGATTTAGTTTACCATTATATACTTTCCAGCCCCAATTCTGTGGATTTATTGCCACGCCACAACTGTATTTGTAAATAAAGTACAAGTACAGGTAATAAAATTTTTGAATTAAAAAAAAAAAAAAAGAATTAGATATGTTGAATAATTATCCAGTAATTAAAAAAGTATTTATTAAGTACAACACAACTCTTCCTTCATCTGCACCTGTTGAGAGACTGTTTAGTGGTGCAGTACAAGTTTTAACTTCAAGGCGTGATCGCCTTGGTGATAAAACATTTGAAAAATTATTGTGTTGTAGGATCATAAAAAATAAAAAATTGTATTTTAAACTCAAATATAATATATAATATTTATGTATATATTATATATTATATATATATATATTTAATATATATAATATATAATACTTAAAAAATGGTAATTTTTTTTTTATATAATTATTAATGTATTTTAGATATATTATTTTATTTTAAACAGACTAAATGTAAATATTTATGTTATTATATTAAATATCAAAATTGTTTTTACTTATGATTATTTTATTTTCAAATGTTAACAAATTTATGTATAGTATTGATTTTTTCTTTTTAGTTTGAAATCTATTTTATATGTATCATAAATAAATGTATATGTATAATTCAACATAATAGTTTAATAAATAATAATTATATACCTTTATAGCTTATACAATGTATTCTGCCTGGCATCTATATCCACAACTAGTCTTCCTTTTCAGAAAATGGAGTAAGTATTGACATTGACACATTGTTGTTGGAATGATCATTTCAATTATTTATCAGATTTTACAAATAGTTATTAGTAATTTAAACTAAAATTATATAGTCATAACTCATAATTTTATTAGTATTTTCTACAAACCTATTATAAAAAATAAAATTTAAGAATAACATTTATAAAAAAATCATCTCATTTTCATCTAAATAAAATTGATTTTATCTGTATCTATATCTAGATATATTTTAATTTATCATTATCTATCTCTATCTAGATATATTTTGAGTTCATATATCTTATCTATATCTAGATACAAAACAATTATCTAAGCACAACACTGGATATTATTGATTAATAATTACACTCTACAACAGCGGTCTTCAACCTTTTCGACTTGCGACCGACTCACTTTTCCTGCCATACATTTTTGCGACCCATGTCAGCTTCGTTAGCCATGAAATCCATAAAAACAAAGTGAAATTTGCTTAATGTATGCCATTGTAGAAGCGCTTTTATAACTCAATAAATTAAAATTTATATTTTACTAAGTAATATTTAATTTTTATTATAAGTGATGATACAAAAAAAAAAAAAATTAATGCAATATTTTTCCCTGACTGTTTTCATACAAAATACCCCACCTACCTCGGATCAATTTCACGTAATGCAGTTTGTAGGTATGCTATTACTAGGTACATTTGATTGTTCATTCTTTTTTTTTATTTAAAAATTAAGGCTTCAACAGTAAAGTTTATTAACCATTGATTGTTACATATTACATACATTAAATGTGAGGTTAAAAATGTCAATATTACATATTATAATAGTAAAGTTAGACTTAAAGTTACAGTTTACTAATAATATTTGTGATGCTTGAAAACGGGATCGCTTTCATATTTTGGCTCTTGTCCTTCTATGTTGGATGGCATGTTCAGGTCGGTGCGTATTGAGATAATTGTGTACACTCCGTCTGTGTTCGTAGTTAATATTTTGTGGAATGTGTCACCTATTGGTCGAGACTCTTTTCTAATTAAGTATGAGTATGACTATATGACAAAGAAGTATTCAATCTTATCTTCTACAAATGTAGTACGGTTTCGGGTTTATTCGAAAATTATTTTACCCGATATGATATGACATATATAATATAATATGTATGAATATGCATTTTTTAAATTTTATTTAGGTAGACTTATCGCTACCCAATCTTAAAGCTTACGCGATTCACTGATTGTAGACCACTGCTCTACAACATAATTATTATAACACGAGTACTAGTTATAATAGCATTAATCATTATAATGTACAGTAGGTATGTCGTAGACTGATAAATGTGTTATATATATATATATATATACATATTATATATTTCGAATGAAATAACAGAGCAACATAACTCATAATTATTTTAAATAAAATAGAATAAAATAAAATTCAACATGCATGTAAAATAAAATTAAAAAAATATTACAAAAATTCGTTTAAGATTGTTTTTGATTAATATCCAATCAACAGAAGTTGTAATGTTTCCATTCATGCATCAGGTAATTGCATCTTTCGTGGCAGGTCCACAGACGATTCAGTCACTAAAATTTTACTTGTCGTGTTGAAGCTGAGTTGTTTGATGGTTTACAATGCTTTGTCTGTCAGGATTCTATGATGTCCAATCTTAATGTCATTTAGTATTTCCCGTGAAATTTTCCAGTAATAAATTATTTGAAGTTATCTGCGGACGTCTACAGGTCTTAAGTCGGAGTTCTCCCCCTCAGTTATCATTGAGTCCAGTAGGTTCGGATTATTAGCATTCTCGGTCCAATTTCGGATTTGCCTGTTCTCTTCGGATGTTTGTGGAGGAACTGGTAACCATTTTAATGTTCCCTCTATAATTCTAATTGCCGAGTTGCGCTGGATATCCAGTTTCTTAGTATGTGTACTATTTGAATAGATAGGTGCGTAGAATTCTGTTGTTGAATATACCGAACTGAACTCCGAACTGTACATTTATTTTCTGATTAGCTTATATTATTACCAAACGAAGAGAGTAACTTTCGTTTTTGATGGATTGGATTCAAGCCTCCATTGTTTATAGTATTTATGTAGTATATCAAGGTCAGTGGGTTTTCCAAGTGTTCTAAATCATTAGTAAGCTAGACTACTTATCAGCGTAGATAAATGTTTATAGAGGTGCCAGCACGGATCCTTGTGAGTGGACATTATTGAGCAACTTTGTAATTCTTTTTTCCTCTAAAATATACATAGTGGGAAATCTGTTACTAAGAATGTTGTTAAAAAGTTTTAGTAGCGTTTTACATAGGATCACATCCAGAAATTTCGATAAGTCCTTTTTTCCAACAGTGTCTTAGGCAGATCTTAAGTCAATTCCACTGCAGTCTTAACGTTCATGTCAAAGCCATTTTCTATGTGAGTAGTTAACTACCAGTAAATAGCACATTTATGGTAGTAATTAGTGCTATAAATGTGCTTTTAATTTAATTGTTTAAAAGTGATCTCCTTAAATCTCTTTATCACTAATAGAACTAAAAGAACGGTCCTGAATATGTTGAGAATTATTCAAGTATAAAATAAATAAATAAACACAAAGAGATTAAACAATTTATGTTAATAGTAGGAATCGTTTAATTTATTAAGAAAACAATGCAAATCAATAACAATTTAAGTAACAGGTATTTGTATAGCAACCACTATAAAGGTGATATATATAATATTTTAATGACATGTTATAATATTACACTATCTAATACCGATCGGTACACACCTGCGTTTTAAACGTAGGCAGTACAAGTCATAAACATGTTTAATGCGAACACGAGTACCGATATAAAATGAGATTTTATATAAAAGGAAGTTCAAATTTCTATCATCTAGGTTTACTATTTTTTTTCGGACGTGTCTTGTTGTATGTTCCATAACTCTGAGTACTCGGACGCGTTGTCCATCAGCATTTGATGATTGCCACGTTCTACAATTTGGTCGTTGCGGAAAATTAAAACCTCGTCAGCATCTTTGATAGTCGACAGCCGATGAGCTATGCACACGCTCGTCTTGTCCTCGGTGGCTCGTCGCAAGGCCTTTAAAATATTCTGTATCAATAAAAAAAAAAAAACGAATCAATATATTAATTAGTTCTAGCAAAGGGACCTTTAGAACTTCATTGCAGACACAAGCGATTTATTAAAAATTATTAAGAAGTTATTATGTAGGTCATCAAAACAAAAATACTAGTGTACAGCTCGTTTTTATTCGGTTTTGAAATACATATAATTATATAATTATATAAAAACGGAAAACTATGACGTTTTTTTTTTTTACAAAGGAAATGTATATACACCCAAACCAATATTTATAGCTATTTCTGGGTGTGAAACAACTTGATGACGTTCGGAAAACGCTATAATTATACCACTAATGATTTTTATCCGAACTTGTTCAGTAATAGAGTCTAATGACGACGTGGTTTCGTTGAATATTAGAATAGGACTGTCCTTAAGTATGGCCCGAGCAATGGATACCCATTGCTTTTCACCACCCGAAATCATCAGTCCCCGTTCATCCACTTGTGTGAAATATTCGTTGGGCAACTTCGTTACAGAGTTATGGAGTTCCGCGAGTTTAACTGCCTCAATGACTTCTGGCTCGGACTTGCTTATGTCTCCGTAATGAAGATTGTACATAATGGTATCGTGGAATAAAATTGAATCCTTAAAAAAAACACATTATACATAGTACAGTCTTAATCAAGTCGCGTGGCGCGCTCGATCGGCGATCGGGTATACCTGAGGAACTACAGCTATGCTTTTCCGAAGACTGGTAAAACATCAACGTCTTTGATGTTCTTACCTCCAATAAGTATCTCGCCCGATGTAGGTTCAAAAAACCTGAACAACAGCCGGATTATCGTCGACTTTCTGAAATAATCGTAATATAAATTATGTAGGTAGCAAAACTCGATCGCTAATCGTATACATCTAAATATTATATGGGGCTCGGATCTCGTCAAAGAGTCTTGTCTAAGTACAGAACAAGACAATACTCCTTACAGAAGTAGCAGTGTTTACCCGTTTCCAGATCCTCCAACAATGGCCATTTTTTGACCGGGTAATACAACAAATGACAAATTGTTCAGAATAGGTTTGCCATTCTGGTAGCCAAAGCAGACATTTCGATTGAAGCATTTTCTTTAGTGACAGCCAATTGGGCAGCATTTTCTAGGTTCTATAATAAGGGGAAAATATAATGTACAATTATCAAGGCGGTAAGTATAACACTGAACAATTTGAAAGTACCTACCTTGACGGACGGGTCGCAAGCCATGATAGAAAACATGGACTGCATGTCGATTAACGCCTGTCGCACTTCGCAGTAAACGGATCCGAGAAATCCGAGTGGCAGAGACAATTGAAAAAGAAAACAGTTTACCATTGCCAGATCGCCGATTGTCATATTACCTAAAGTAAAGAACAGTAATTTTTAATATTGTTATATTTTTTAAATATTGCATGCAAATCGTATCAGTTATTATAAGCAGAAATGCTAAACGTTTTAACTAAATATTAAAACCCAAATTACGAGTACATTACCTTCGAATATCTATTTAGTGGCCAATATCATAGCCACGTTTATTGTCACGCTGAAAATGATATTCTGACCGAAGTTCAAAACAGCCAAACTCGAGCTGGTCTTCAACGAAGCTATTTCGAATTTTTGTAAGACCTTGTCGTATTGGTTGGCTTCGTATAATTCGTTATTGAAATACTGAATTACAAATCAAAAAATCAATCTGATCAATTTTATTATTACTATTATAGATTTAAATGTAACTTTTAATTCCTGTTTTAAAAATAAATTATTTATTCATAATTGTCATTTTATATTTAGTAGTAAACATTTATAATAAATTATTATACTATATGCTGCTGTTTGCATGAGTTTTTTGTTTTATTTATTGACCCCATAGTAGCTCCAAGTTATCAATCTCTATTTACAGTGTAGAACAGTTATTACATATGTCAGTCTTCAATTACCAAAGTATTAATTGTATTTCAAATTATTTAAAGAAAATGTCTTATTTATCTAAAAAATAGATAGACCATTTCTTCAA